TAACAAAGTCCTGCAGTCACTGGACATGCCAAGTGTGGTAGGTAGTGAAGCAGTTGAGGCAAAACCATGCTTTTAGGATTGCCAATAAACTTATACCCAGAGTATCTAGCAACAGGCTTTTGTAAGGATTAGTGATATGAACAGGGCGGGCACCAGATGAAGTGAAAACAATTTTATTGTAAACTGTACTTTCATTTGCCGGGTAGGCGATGATGGCTGAAGATTAATGGAAGAAAATAGAGAAAGATTTGGCATGTGCTATCTCCATTATTATACATTTCCAATGGTAATGTAATGGAAGAAAATGATCTTAAAATTGGACGTGTTTTTTTAATAAGATTTGGGGTAGGAAAGTTGTGTGAACTACTATAAAAATACCCAGTACTGTACCTTATTTCAGTAGATAAATAAAAACAGTTTATAAGGACTAACAAATTACCTGGTCACATTAAAACCACTAATATTATCAAACAATTCAAAACGGAAACTAAAAAATACTGCTAGCCTAGGATAGCTTAAGCACATTGTAATGCTTGTTATATTTATAAAAAAATTCACTTTTATTCCTATAGATACCATATTACAGTACTGATTAGTAGCTAAGCCAAAGCAAGGATTTTACTGGAAATAAACATCTGATGGCTTCGTTGGCTTTCCTTGGTCGAATTGTTGTACAGTACTGTTGGCTATTGTTGTATACCTGCACCTCTACTGTCTAGGTATGTTGGAAATTATCGTATAATGTGTACCATACCTGCATGGTCTGTGTACACTGTATACCTGCATGGTCTACTGTATATACAAAATGTAGTGTAAACTGTACTATATCCGGATAATGCGTGGATTTTTATTTTGTGGTCCCCTATTATTTGCGGATGACACCCTGGTTGTACAGTGATTTCTGCTATAACGCGTGTTTTGATAACGCGTGTTTTGATAACGCGAATTTGCTCTAACGCGATTATGAATTAGGAACGATATTTGTATAACGCGAACGCTTGTTTGCTATAACGCGATTTTTGCTTACTATTTCTCCAATTTTGTGAATATAGTAAAGAAGAATATCAACAAGAAGCGTTCCGGTGATAAAATTCCTGGTGATGATCGTAAAAGAAAGGATATAACACTAAAAGAGAAGCTCGATTTTATCAACCTCAAAATCACCCTTCTCCCCCATCAAGTAAAGTGTTACATTTACTGTATGATTTCATTATTAGATATGAATGTAACATTTATTTAGACCGTGCTATCCTTTGTGTTAGGCTAACTACTAAATCTTTTCGATTTCGAGTAATCTGCACCTAACCCTATTTTCTCCATAAGCCCTGTTATTTCTATTACGCGATTTTCTATAACACGATATTTTACAAGAACACAATTATCGCGTTATAGCAGAACTACCTGTACCCAAGAATGTCTAAGGGTAGTTTTAAAGTTGCTGGCATTTTCGTGGCCAGGACAGTGAGCCATTCGTTCTTGAGGCAGTAGTTTCCTTTACCTGTATTGTATACTGTATGTGTGTGTGTGTAGACTTGAGGGTAGACTCAATATGTTATTGCTTACTTGAACATATTATTTTTAATTAATTAAAAAATAATACAGTAATTATTGTAAATATAAAAACTCGATTTATAACTACTGTACTAATGATGATAACCTGAGATGATTAATGTCTGTACGGCAGACACCCAACTCTTCAGAGGTAGCTAAGCAGAAACCATTTCTGAACACTAACAAGCATTATTATTTATTAATGTCATACCTGCAAGATTTATTTTTAAATCTACAAATACCTGATAGAAATGAAGATTTATAGATACAGTAACTTTCTTTTCACGTTTCCATATGTTATCATCGCTGGCGCTTTGTAGCCAGGTTAGACTCATAACTGAGGCTACTGGGCCAAACTGTGAAGTGTTATGGTTGTCATTCATCTCGTATTTTTGGGTATTCATCTTGTATTTATTTTTACTCCGTTACATGCATACACCATCCTACATACATATTGTGAAAAAGTAAAAGAAATAATTGCCCTAAGGGCAAACACATAAAGGGAATATACATTTCTTTACACATGAGTGAGCTGGCTGGCTCAGTGGGAAAGCAGGAGGAGATGAGACGTGTAGGGGGGAGCGTTGCTGGGGTATCTTCGGAGGTGGCATCTGTTGCTATGGTGAATCGGGGTTTATATGCAAATGGCGACTGCGTTAAACTTTCATTTGCCTTTTGTTTACTGGTACTTTACTTTATATATTATTTTAAGAACATTATGAGTGCAGGAGGAAAATACACACACAAGTTTTTTCCTAAATACTCCCTGCTAAAGGGGGGGGGGGTTGTCTTATATACCGTAAAATACGGTAGTAATCTTCCCCAGGGTGACCTTGTGATGTGATTATGTGTTCACTACATATATGCAGTATATTTGTATTTTTGATATGTTGGCCATTTATAGTTGTGTATCTTACTAGATAATATTGTATACAGTATAGTAAAGTACAGTATCTTGTTGCTGGGTGGTACAGTACAATACTGTTTATAAAATTTAATATAGTATTGTACTTGGTAAAGTCAAAGATCTGCCAAGTACCCTGTATTGTACTGGTATGTTATGTTCAGGGTTCCACTTATCCACAAGCGAGAAGCCACACTCTTCATTGTGTCTACTCTTTTCCAAATTTCATACAAGGGTCAGTTTAGGCTTAAAATAGTCACTGTGGGTCATGGATAAGACCACTGGGGTTATGGGTACAGTAAGTCCTCGCTTAACGTCAGGGTTATGTTCCTGAAAACGCGACATTATACGAAACCACGTTAAGCGGATCAATTTTCCCCATAAGAAATGGATAAAATTCGGGAATTATGTTCCTGAGCCTCCCTTTGCCCCATGAAATACATTACCAATACAGAAAATCATTGCCATTTCTATAGCAAATAGTGCATGCATATACAACTACTAAGTTTGTATTGGTACTCACCGATGGGCGGAGGTGGTAGAACGAGTGTGTGGTGGGTAGTGAGGCGGATGGCGGGAGCGGTGGTTAAGTCTAAAACATTAGGACAGCCAATGAATATTGTGCGAATTTTTACTCAGATGACGAAGTCATCAGGTTCAACTCTGGCTGAAGCTGTAGCTTTCCTTAAAGCTGTTGCTGAAACTGTTACCAAACCTGAAGTTGATGTTGAAGCTGCTTATGATGCTGAATTTGATGGTGTAGCTGAAGTTGATGGTTTAGGCCTTCGAATAATAAAGCTGTCGAAAGAACCTTTGCACAGCTGCTTTCTGTTCTCATTATACATCTTTATGTAGAGGTCATTTGTGTTTATTTAAATTTTAATGCTTTGTTCTGTTAATGGGTCCACTTTAGAAAATATGTTCATTGCTTGCTCCATATAATATCCACAGACCTCTCACCTTTTTCATATTGTTTTAACACATCTAGTTTCGCTGCTAAGCTTATACACTGTCTATTAGCTTTTGAAACAACACTACCATCACTTGCTCTCTTGCTCATGTTGAATAGAGATGCAAAAATGCTGTAAGAAACCCGAGAAAGTTTTTCTTCTGTTCCTGCTCCAGGTGCGTGAAAAGAAAAGGCCCGCCAAGCTCCAACTGTTGTCTACCACTCATTAGCAAGGCAGCTTCTTTGTGCAAGGCACTCTTTAATTTTTTTTACAGTAATTTAATTTTTTTTAAATACATATCAGGATTTAGTTATTACAGAATTTATATGAAAATTTAATTTAATTTTATTTTTATTATATTTTGGTCATAAATACGAATGAAATAAGGACGTAAATTGAATTGGGTCCTAAATTAACTAGGGTTTTAAATATGAAAAGTTGTTGGTCGAACCATTGTTATCGGAGGCATTACCGGTACTGTACAGGTAAAAGAAATAATTATCCAAAGGGCAAACACATAAAGGGAATACCGGTATACATTTCTTTGTACACAAGTAAAAATGTACCCCCCTTCCCCCTGGGTCAGCAAATGTTATTCGCGGATTTGGCGATTCGCAGCCATTTTGAGAACCTAACCCCCGCGAATTTGAAAGGCATGCAGTATTTATATTTATTCTCAAGTCTTCTTGTATTAACCCCTGTCTCCTAGGTACTTATATAAATGTGGGATAATTACATTAGTCTTGTATGACTATCACCCCCTGTAATTTTCCACTAGCTATGAGGTGACATGTTCTGAGCTCATGATCAGGTGAGTCCAGAGGAACGCGCGTCACTTAGTGCTAAGTCAAGGCATAAGTAACCGGCTGCCTGTTGCGGGCAGTAGTTTGATAGCACTCGCTAGTGGAGGACATTATTTATAGCGATCCCTGTTGCGCTCCGTTTTTCCTCGAGGGAGGATGTCCGATATATTCCGTTCTCCCTCGAGCAGTTTCTACTCACTATCACTTCAACTCTCACATCAATCGGACGTATTTAGTAGAGCTAATCTAAGATAGTCTCCGTCCTCATTTAACACTCATAGTTACAGTGATTAAGTTACGATGATATACATTTGGAACTGCATTTAATATATTTTTCTAAATAAATGAATAAAAGGACCAGTGGGGTTTCACTACTAAAACCCAATAAACTTTTCCATGTTCTAGCTCCATTAACTTATCAAGAATCAATGGTTAAGGGCGAAAACACTGTACTTAGTAGTGTTTTGAGCACTAGTGAATTCCTTAGAAGAATTGGCACTTTTGCGAAACACAAGACTAGTTATTATTATTTTTATTATTATTATTATTGTTGTTGTTGTTGTTGTTGTTGATTTAGACTGTTGGTGAAATACTTAAATCTTTTGTACAGTACAGTATAGTATAAAAAATTTATCTTTCTGTAAATTATGTGCACTGTATTGTATTGTGTTCAGTTTTACAATGTTGATGATTTTAATTTAATGAGTAACTTGAGTGTTCTCAGTCAATGCATTTAAGATACATTTACAGTATTCTGTGGATTTGTATGCTAATGATGTAAACATTCAACAGGCTCAGGTGGAGTGGTGTGGTGTAGGCTTTGTAAGAGCCTGCACAGGGAGATGGCTTGTGTTAAGTCTGGATGCTGCCTTGCTGCATGGCCTCCACTCCCTCAGTCGGGGCTACTGGCCAGTTGTTGCTGCACTCCTTGACAAGCAGTCTCTTACCACCATTACTAATCTTCCCTATGCCACAAAACCTTTATCTAGAGGTAGGACTCGTTATAAGCTCCTCATTGAAGAGTCATGTGTAACTGCTTTATGATTAGGTAACATCAGAGACTGAAAAAAGAAGTACAATCCTTATCTCTTTTCAAACCCAGAACATAATTCTGCAGTTAAGAAAACCGCATGATTTTTCATCAGATATCACATTTCTATTACTGCGTTAACAGGACTTCTTCAGAATTGAAAAATCATTTGCATAAATTGTCTAGGTACTACTGGTTATTTTAGTTACATAAGTGTTTGTACAGCATTTCTTAAATTGTCTTTCATCAGTCTGCCTCCCAAGTATTGCCATAGTTTTATCCCATTTCTTATGATATGATTACCTGACCGAGGTGGATTTTATAAGTTTACAGATAGTCTACTTTTTCTTGTGCAGGTCGGTCTTGGGTGTGTCTGTGTCTAAATGAGGGTCAGTTAGAAAGTTACCTGCATGTGCTAACCAGTCACAGAGTATTGCTGGAAGCTAACTATGGAGCTCAAGCCCTACTCCGTGATCCTCATCGGGCTCACCTACTACTCATGCTGGCTGCTGGGCTTGAGCACCTCAAATTTTCTATACCAATGGTGAGCATACACTCAGTTCTTGTTATTACGTGAACCCCCCTTTTTTCAGATGTACAAACCATTTCCTCCTATACAATACTGCAGAATGTTTAGAAGCAAGAACAAATTCAGACTGTTTCCTCCTTTCTGTCATCCGTTCACTCTAACTTCTGGAACATCCCCATAAACCACTCAACACCATGCACTCTTATATACCTGCACTATTGCTTTTTGAATGACTATCCCACCTCGTATCTAGCGTATCCTGCACCCCATTCACCCATCTTCTAGGTCTGCCCCCTACTCATTTTCATTTTTTTTCCACTTTCCAGGCTGACTGAGAAACTAGCTGTCCAACACTCCTTTGTCTCTTAATTTTTGCATTTCTTAAACTCTGCTTCTGATTCACCCTACTCGATGCTCTCAATCATAGAATTTTTACTGATTCTGGTATGCTTAATCCTCTTGTACCCAAAATACTTGTTTCATATTCATTTCCTGTAGTACTGTCAGGTTTACAATTCCCTGGCACATCCCTAACTTCAATTCTCATTAAGAGAGAGAACTGCTTCATAGGAGGCAAAGATGGAAATGCATAGAGAAGTCGCCGAGTTGACTTTACTACCATAAATCCGTAAGTAACTTTCCAAAAGTATAAGTTCATAAAAATAACAATAGAAGTATGGTCATATCTTATATCTGTACATTATGAAATAGAACAGTCTAATTAAGTTACATTTAATGAATTAGTGGTAAAGTTTTATGCATTTTCTATCTACATACCGGTAATTAGATTTCCTTTTAGCTTTCCATATAAAATGTCCTTGTGTTGCTTAAATTCATATTACCATAGTAACCTGTTTTGATTGTGGTTTATGAAATACAGTAGTTTCAGGTTATTTCATAAGATGGGACTGAGAATGTTTGCAAAGTAAAAACAGTAACTAATAGCAATTTAGAAATATTCTTTATACAGTACAGTACAATATACCCTTCTGTAATTCAACACAAAATATGGGTTTAGGGACTGGGGCCCCCAAAAATTCATCAAGCAATACTTAAGAGGTTTATATACTTTCTCAAACACTCGCAAGAAATGCACAACATTCTGGTACACCGTGGAAATATACCGGTAAAGAAAATTTCACAACAAAAGAAGAAAATAGCACAATACACCACAACTTGCTGCCTCCGACTGACTTGGTTCCTGATGCTGTAGTCTGCACACGTCAACACTTCTACAAAATCAAGCTTTGATCAGGAGTGTAGTCACACTCATTCTTATCACTTCTTTCAAGTCTTCTTTAACCTTTTCTGCCACAGTTGTGTCAGCTGATGCAGCAGTAACTGATGCACTTATTCCATGGTCAAGTTCATTAAAAAATTTAACTTTATCTGCTAAATTAAACAGTTTTTTTTTTTTATTTGAATTGGATGGAGAAGTGGCTGCTGAACGTCTTAGACATCTTGGTACAATGGAAGTGGTGCATATGGTAAAGTTGAGACAATTTGCAAGAAAAAAGCAAGTATCCATGATCTTGAGTGAGCGCTGGTTGAGTGTAATGCCTTCTATAAAGAGAGTTATGCTAACTTTACACTAGGCATGGTCATAGCATATATACCTCATGCTGTGAACTGGCCTTTGTATAGAAGGTTCTATTCAAGTTCTCCTAGTGTTGGGGCACATTTACACGAGGCGTGTTACTAGTACATAAGCTAACGCAGGAGGCAAGTGAGAGAAGCGTTTCCATGCCAGCACGAACATACTACTGTAGTGGCAATTGACACGTGGCGCCTACTCTCACCCGCAGTGGGGTCATTTGGTTTTGTCTAAAGTTTTTGTGTGTCTATTCCTCCCAATAAAGTTTCAGTCACAAGCAAGTTTTAGACCTCATAATCATTATATTTAGCCATATTAAAAAAATAAATAAGAATGGACATGCAAAATCAGTAAACCTGCAAATCAATTTGTAGAAATGGCACCACTGTGTGAGTCACAGATTAATTGGAAGCAAGATGCCCTCCAGGCAACTCCTCACTACATCCACCCGAGTTTTTATTTAAATTTTGAGGAGAAAATTAAAAAAAAAGAGAAGAAATGTGTGGGTACGAAAGTTGATTGAAAGAAGAGAAGTCAGTGCTGCAAATACTGTACTCTTCTATATGAACTATTGGTTGAAGATCTTGCCATGTACAGTGAACCCTCACTTTACGCAGTTAATTCAACCCATGGCGGCCCGCGTAAAGTGAACAACATAACATATGGGATTAATTGAAATAGAGACCGGGCCGACCCCCAAACTCCACTTTTTCAGACACAATACCTATGTTGTAGTAAAAATAACTTCTTAATTTTATAATGGTATGCACACACAATTAATAATTTAGAGAAATATCGATAATATTAGGTTTCTTAACACTTACATTAGTAGAAAAGATGGCTGGGCACACGGGGATGGGGGGTTGGTTCCGAGGCAGAGGGCAGATTATTGGCCCTCACCTGTATCACTTGTATCACTATCCACCACAGAGGCTTGCAGGGCCTCTTTGTCAAACCCCTCAAAGTCCATATAAGTCCATATCCTCACTATCATTATCACTATCACTGACTTGGGCCGGCTGTGGTGGGTGGCGGGTGAAGAACTCGGTAATATTTTGATGACTGGGCGACCTTGTGCGCACCCTGCTCGCGCCGCTTACACAACATGGCGGATGGCGGGAGGTTTGGATTAAAAAATGGCGCGGCTCGCCAGCCGCTCTCCGCGTAAAGGGGTACACGCACCGCGGAATGTGAGCATTCCGGTTTCGGCAGGGTACCGCGTAAACGTGGAAACGCGGAATATGGGACCGCGTAAAGCGAGGGTTGACTGTACGTAAATTTCTTGAGGTAATTATTACTAATAATTAATCTGAACCTGTAAAAATATAATACAGAATGTAATAAGATGCATTTAAAACTTCACTGAACACTAAGTATCATGAGTCAAACACCCAGTGTTGCCAATTACAACTGCCTGCTCAACTAGCACACTATTGACTGAAATTTTGAGTGACTACCAACTTCCAGGCAAGTGGAAATCCACCAGCCTGCTGGTGCTAGGGGCGAGTTATTTGCTGCTAGTAGAGAGCCATTGACACGATGCATGTTGGCCCTGTTTGCTACCATGTCAGTACTGGCACCTAGTAACACCGCTCTGCTATCAGATGTCGTGTTTTAGTGAGTAAGCTTGGTTTTCTGTGATTTTCCCTGAGTATTGATACTAGGCTTCATTTTGTACATCTCGCACTTGAACTAAGTAGCACCATGACTGCTCTCTGGTGGGTAGGTGGAGAAGTGTGCATGCACGGTAGTTTTATTGGCACAACAGTTGATTTAAAACACCTCCAGCCTGGCTGTTTTTACATAATAAAAAATTATAATAATTTAGATAACTGCAAAAGAAAAGTGAAGTAAAAAATGGCAAAGTAATGCAAGTCTACTGTGCTGGACATAGTTCTGTATGTAGAAAATATATCCATCCGTCTATCAACCATATGTCCTTCCCAGCTGGATGAGGTGAACACCATAGAACAAATTCAAACTTCATAAGAAAAGGACAAATAAACCATTCCAAATAAAAGAAAAATAGCTCATATAAAGACATCCATCCTGAACTAATATTGACATAAGATGATTTAGGACTTTTGTATTGCTTGAATACTTCATACCTTAGTTCACTCGCTGACTGATTCGTGAAGGGTTGCTTCTGCCTTTATATACCCATTTACTTTCATACTCCGTTTTTATACACTGTCTGCTGTCTCTTGTTATAGTTAATAAGTACTGTACCTTGATTTTGATAACTCAGTGGCTCAAACAGTCATTTTATAGTGTTTCCTTCAATCTTGTTCCTTCTGCTGCACTACTTTGAATCTTCTTTATCCTTTTAGGATTTATCATATTGACAGAAATCAAGTTTGTATGTTTTTCCTTCGAAGTATGCAAATGTCATCTAATTGATAGTATCACAAGGATTTAAGAGAATATCATGATTTGGGAATTCCATTTCATTTCACTGACCATAGATTCCATTCAGATATTGTATTCCAGTACTAAATGAAAAAGAGAAATGATTAATTAATGATACAAGGGCTAGACTTTTAAAGTTTATGAACAAATGTAAATACGAATGCTGGAAAATTTTCTAAAGTGTTCATGAATGAGATGGATGAAAAGATGTAGGAAGGAGATTACTGTACAGTATGAGTCCCCCCCCTGCCGTTGCAAATTTGTGTAGTGAATATAGACAACATAAATGCCCTTTTGCCAGATACATGGAATACTGTACAGTACTGTATTGTGAAGTGTAGGTTTTTTTATTTTTTTAAATTGAAGAAGGGTCAAGTTACATACAGCATAGTTACTCATTTTTTCTGGTTTGAACAGGATGTTCCTGGCTGGTTGCAAGGTGAAGGAAGTCTTGGGAGTTCATCTGGGACAAGTATGAACTCACTCAGTGTATCCATAACCAGTATGGGCTCCTCCCTCCCTTCACCCTCCCAGCAAGACCCCTATGACTTGGACACCTCATGTTCAGAGGCTATGGAGGAAAGTTGGGTATGTAAATTTACATTTGCCTGTGTTATTTTCAATAATTCGAAAATGCATATTTCAACTAAAAACATTGGTGATGGAATAGATTTTAGGGAACTCATATGCATTAAGACTTGTATGCAGTGATGTTTAGTGAATAGTCACAGCCTGTTAGGCTAATATCTATTACTGTATAGTAAAGTATCTGTCAACCCAAAATTAGGGACTAAGAGGCTTCTATAAAGTGCGTAATCACTTAGATTTGCTACTATTGTATCATGAATATCTGTCCAAAGAAAGTATGTAATAAATGAGACAAATTGCTTCGGTTTGCTTTTTAATAGTTTTTCAAATAGGTACCCATGTATTACCGTAACTTACTTATTATTCTCCAACACGAACAGTGTCTTAGTTTACAACTAAGTTCTGTGTCATCATTCTTGTAAAATCACCATACAATTTACTACTCAAGCTCATGTGAGGACTAGTAGACTCATTACTTACATCACCAAACACAGGGTCTCAAACTGTTGCCTGATTGTCCCATTTCTTTTAATCTTTTTTTCTTTATACAATACAGGGGAACCTCGAGATACAATGGGGTTAGGCACCTGAAAAACCCATCGCTAGGTGAAATATTGTAAATAGGGAGCATTATAACAGCCAGTCCTCAAACACACATGTATCACCGACAACACAATTCCTGCAATACTACTATCAGTACAAAACAAGACTTGCCACATCCTGAAGAATAAGCCTGGTCGTCATCACATGTCCCCTTCGAGGCTAAGGGGATTCCTGTAGGTGGAGATGTCATTGACCCACACAGCCTCTGGGAAGTCTCCAGCTGCTTAGGTGTCAAGCTTCACCTCAGAGACATGGTTGTCTTGGATACTTTGCCCTTCCCAGACATTTTCAGAATTACATTACTCACTTCACATTCACAAAACCGAGCAAAAGCACTTGTCACAAAAACAGAGTGAACGATGGTAACAAGAACAATGATAACGGCCGACACTGCTCACATTTTCAAAACAACAGAGTCAACGCACCTTACAGTCACAAATACCTGTACACAGAAAATTTAACTTCACAGTCACCATAACACAGTTCAATATAAATGTTAGTGCTGTCCTCTCACTATATAAGAAAAAACACCGATGATAAGTACAATGTACGATGCCAGCCGATAATCTTGGAGCCATGAGATGGCAGGTTTATGATCGACAAAGAACGGGTTGGTCGTGTGGCGGTGCATGGATAGGGTTAGATATTGTTTCCTTGTAAAATGTCACCGACTTGACGTAGAAAAATATAATTTGCATTACTGGATTTGTTGCAAGACAGTGATTAATTTGAGTATATACAACCCATAGTTTTCACTAAAGATAAAAAAAATATCCTATCAATGGATTTTTGTGGATTTAGTTTAAGCTAGTTGTTTTGAGCATATATAGCGAGATTGTCTTAATTTATAACCATGGCAACCAAACAAAAAATATATTTAGAATCAAGGATATTTCTTTTCTCAAAAATAAAGCAGATTAGTTGGAGCAATAGCACTTTTTTTTTGAAGATAAAGTTAAGAGGACATTTCCTAAAAAATACTAACACTATACAGGGGGCCCCCTAAGTTCGCAGATTTTTACTTCGCAGTTCTCGGTTACTCGCAGATGACACCCTGGATGTACCCAAGAATGTCTGTAGGTAGTTTTAAAGTTGCTGGCATTTTTGCGGCTGAGACAGGGAGCCATTTGTTCTAGAGACAGTAATTTCCTTAACCTGTACTGTATTGTAAATATGTGTGTGCGTGTGTAGACACACACACACGCACAACCCACACAAATAAATAATGATGGGAAAATACTTTCACAAATAATTAGAAAAAAATTTAATAAAAATGTGACAGTCTATCTTTCAAGTCTGTGCTCTATTACAGTACTGTACTTTATTAAGAGAGCATGGACTTGAGGGTAGACTCACATTTTTAATAAATTTGTTTCGGATTATTTGTGAGAGGATTTTCCCATTATTATTTACAGTACAGTATTTGAATGTGTTTTGTGCATGTGTGTGTCTGTCTACACACACACACGTATGCAGTACAATACTACAGGTAAAATATATAATTGTCCTAAGGGCAACACATAAAGGGAATATACATTTCTTTGTACACAAGTAAAAATTTTATTCGCGGATTTTGCGATTTGCTGCCATTTTGAGAACCTAACCCCCGCGAATTTGGGGGCCCCCTGTACTGGACTAAAACCAAGATATCCTGGTTCCCATGTGACTAAATTGAAATTCAGTAAACTGTAATTGATCATAAATTATTAAACAGAGAGAACAAGTTAAATACTTCTTCAGTATTTAGTTTAGGAATCATACCAAGTTAACATTCAGGGTCCAGGGCTGAGGCAGCAGCCACCCTGCTCACTCTATGACTCAAAGAAAAGAAAATCAGGCAGTAGAAATCCCATTAGATTAAGAGTGAACCATGTATGATCTTTTTTATTGTTATCTTTTGATCTTTTTTTACATTTTTGCAATTGCAAACACAATTTCACAATGTAAAATTACACTAAACACCAGATTTTACACATTGAACATGTATTATTCATTGCAATTGTACAATATTTCAGCTTAGATATGGGTCAGATAGGCCTTTGTGGGCTGGCTTGAGAATGTAACCACCATGTATAACATTGTCTGGACTCAAATGTCAGCCATCACAAATGGTAGGTTTTTTTTTTTTTTTTTTTTACACGGGGATTAGCCCACCTGGGTGCAGGTCACTGACCCACATCAGGGCCCGGGGGGCAAAAATTTAATAATAATAATAATAATTCATAGTAAATAAAATTTATAATAAAAAGTAAAATAAAATATTAATGGTAATAATAATAATAACAACACTGTGATAATAATGAATACAAAGAAATGCAAGAATGAAAAAAAATCAACAGTGAGAAACGCTATATATGTATGTTGTTTTGTCATGTAATAGAAACAATTGAGACCCTACAATTGTGTGTAAATGAGGCAGAAAGTCAGATCAGCAACCTGAGACTTGGTCACAATTTTTGTGATGCTATATGGCAGCAGGGTCCACCATTAGACAACACATTATGCTGCCAATATCTTCCCAGACGGTAGCACCTCCCTGTTCGGTAGCTGCCTACTACCTTTTGGTAAAATATATTATTTTGTTAAGTAGATTTTTGTTGACAGATACTTAGCTGTAGCAGTATTTCAATCAGAATGGAATATAAAAAAAAAGTTTTATGGAAGCTCATGTTTGTAGCTTCATTTAACTGGGAGTTGAAAGAGGTCAGCATTACTTATAAAGCTTCCTTTTATCACCCAGATACAAACTTTGTGTGGCAGGAAGGTGAAAGATCGAATGTTGTTAAAGTTTAAGAAGATATTATAACTGAATGTACTGTATACATGCATGTACTGTATGCCAATAACTAGCTTTGGGGTTATTTTGCTTGACAATTTGCTATATCAGGTGAAGGTGTGCTTTCCTTCCCTCTCATGTTTGTGTTCCAACATATTGGGTATCTTAAGCACTTTAATTACTTTATTTCAGCATTCCATTGAGAGAGAACAGCCAATCTCTCACCCCAGGTGTGAGGACTTGGATACAGCCATTGAAATTGAACACATCTCAAAGGTAGTTCAACACACTAGCTAAAATTTTCTCCAAAAAACATTGCCAGTTATGACTAATGCTTTTGTTTGTATGAGGACCAAGTTTAGATCAGTTTACCTAATAGAAATTTCTACAAGAATTTGCCTGTCAGTTTGTTAGCACTTACAGTTTCAAATACTTTCAGTTGCTGCTTCCAAACTCTCAGTCTCTTAATAATTTTCTTAGGATTACCCTTGATTTATTTGTTTATTTATTTTATCATTTTTAATGGATAATGATGGCAATTCATGGTCATTACTCACTGGAATTTAAAAGAAAATAAGGTCAATTTATTGTATTACACCTGTCTTTATTTTGATATGAAAAATAGGTTTTTCCAGTGTATTTTGATGAGTTTCGAATGAATTTGATATTCATTTCCACCGGAAATAACTTTTTTTTTTTTGGATACCCGACCCCCACCAAACAATCATACCAGAAAAAGTTTGATTTCTTTTTTAGAATAAATAACAAATTATATTACCAACCAACCAAGAAAACCTAACCTAACCTAACCCAACCCATTGTTCAAGCCCCAGACAATTAAAGAACGAAGACGGAGGCCTGGAGCGATGCGTGAGCAGGGGGTCAGACCACCTCCGCCCTAAGTAAACAAATCATGGCGACACTTGTGACCGAGCGAAAGTAATAATCTTGAAAAATGAATATCTTGGTTATCCTTAATATCCGGTGGAAATATCATAGAAGAAAAATATCTTGGAATTGTGTAAACATTACGAGATACATATTTTTAATATGGAAATAAAGACCGGTGTGTACGATAAATTCATCAAAAGTAATAACAAAAATATTTGAATTTTACTATAAATGCCTGATTTACACCATAAAAGTTCAAAGGTCAGGGGGAATAAACAAAGAATAACTCCAATCCCCTGAGGAAACCTCAAGGGTGGACATGTGACTTGGAGAAGCTACCCTACCAGCATATTACTGGTACTTAATCTCATTAGTGAAATTCCCCAAAGATTCACTATCTTCACTTATATCACTGTTACTATGCATGAGAGGGTCATCCTTATCTCCAGAATCAAATGTAACGATATCAGTTTTCTCCTGCATGGAGCACTACACATACTGTAAGCTGATGCTGTATGTCATGACTAAGACGTGGTCTATCCATTAGAATTGGAAAAGAGGCTTACACTGCTTCTAGGCAGTTGCCAGAAGCCTCCACAAAGATGCAAAGCAAATACAAAATATGGAAAATTTAAATTGTACCCACGTGAAACATACTGCAACCGTCGAGAACAGTGTGCCTCTCAGTCCCACAGTTGTTGTAGGAAATATCTGCCAGGGGTTAAAGATCAGGATCATGGGTCATTTGGCCAGTTTTGACTGAGGATTTGAGTGTGATCTTCAACTGACTACCCCTGGATAACTTATGGCATATTCTTTAGATTATTGTCATTGGGATAAAAATTTTATGTCTGCTTTATTCAAGTCGGACTTGCTAAGAGTCATGTTTGACATTTGTAAATGAGTGCAAACATTTAAAGTAGCATTTACCATTGCCATTTGAAGAATTCTAGAATGCACGCTTTGTTTTTCATACCATGGTTTGGTAATAGTACAGGTACACTTGGTAAAAAAAGATACTGTACAGGTGGGGTCTGATGATTTTCCATCTGAACATTCCCATTGTCTCGCGAGGGTTGGTAGGCCTGAATGTGAGATATTTCCTACTTAATTTGGTAGGCCAAAATTAGCTATTTCATTGACAATATTGAATTACTTTTTTACAATATGACTGGACAATGTCAGTATATTTAGATAAGTTAAACTGTATGTTATATTAAATGTTCGTCACACCGTGGACTATAGTGACCATGGAAGTGGATGAGTTGCCACATAGAAATGCATTATATGTTTGTCAGTATTAGTGAATATAGTAAAGGTACAAGATTATTGTGCAACCGAATTTCGAATCTGTGTTTGTATTGCTACTTCACTTTGGGCTAATGCCACTGTCATTCTTTATTCGTATTGGAAAATATACCAAGCTGTTCTGAAACTTCTGAATAGCTCCACAGTTCATATAACATACACATTCTTAATGTAAGATATCAGGAAATGTTGGTAGCACTAATTACGTAAATCACAATATTAGGCTGCTACAACACCGCTCACAATGTGTATTTAACATTGAGAAATGAGACATAGGGTTGCGATCAAGTTTCAAATTGTGCAAGTGTGGCAGCACTAACTCCTGACCCGTTTCAGAGTGCCGAGCATGTGTGGCTGAACCCATACACACGCAGGGCTACCAATGCGAGGAATGCCTTGGGCCTTTTTGAAATAACGGTTGTACCTCTCTAGTCCGGCAACCTCGGGACCTGACCGATGCCGTACCATGGAAATTCACCCTTTTCCTGGATAGATAGTGACTTGTGCTTATGCTTGGAAGCACTAGCACCACTTTCTCTGCATCATGGTCTCTTTGAAGACATATTGAAGGGTTAAATGTCGTATAGTAGCTTGTCAAATTTTGCGAGTTTTTAATTCTTAACGTATTTTATTGGAACACACACAAAAATAAATAAATAAAAATTTTGACGGCGGAAACTTGAATTTCGACGGGTTTGAACGGCCCGCCAACGTGCAGATGACGTGCATAATCGTGTAAACAGCGTCATTTCTCTTATGTACAAAAGATTCATTATTGTTTATTACTGAATGTCATTTTTATTGAATTAATGTTTATGTGTGCAAAATGAGCAATAAATTCATTAATAATACGTAGAATATTAAAACACACGAGGAAATGACACAGCATTGTTTTCGTTGATTACAAAACCAGTGACTGACTGATTCTACATATAAAACTGAAGAAAATAAGACCTTGGCTGTAGCTGTAGTAAAATTAATATGGTTGTTTTAAGTAATCTTATTTAATGTTAATAAATGGAACAATAGAAGTAGCTAACGATAATGGTAAAGAAAAAAGAGAGATGGCGTATGTAAGTGCGCATGCGCACACGTGAAAACATATCGTCATTACTTTACATAAGAATATGAAAGCAACACTAATTTACTGTTCATATATATTTTAATTAATGTTTCTGAATTTGTTTTTATTGAATTAATGTTTGTGTGTGCAAAATTAACAATGCAATTTATTAATAATACGTGGAATATTAGAGGAGACGAGACGGCTGCCGGCATTGTTTATGTTAAAGCTTACAAAACCAGTGACTGATTGGTTCTACATATAAAACTGAAGAAAATAAGACCCTGATTTTAGCTGTAGTAAAATTAATGTAAAAAATTAATATGGTTGTTTGAAGTACCTGTAATGTTATTTAATGTTAATAAATGGAACAATATAAGTAGCTAACCATTAATGGTAAAAAAAAAAGTGAGACTGCTCGTATGTAAGTGCGCACATGTGAAAATATATCGTCATTACTCTACATAAGAATATGAAAGCAACACTTATTTACTGCTCATATATATTGAAGGGTTAAATGTTGTACTCTGTATAGACAAGCAGAGAGAGAGAGAGCAGCCGAACTGCCGGATGTAAACAAACCTTAATTTCCCGCGGCTTTTTTTTTTTTTAAGGGGATTAGCCCACCCGGGCATAGGTCACTGACCCACATTGGGGCCTGAGGGGCAAAAATTTAATACTCCTGTAATAGTAATAATAATTCAGACAAGTAAAAAAAAAAAAACTGCCTATCTACCTATTGGACAAACTAAAATCATTCCGGACCACGGGAGTTTCCGGACCACAGAATGCCGGACTAGAGAGGTACAACCTGTACTTCATTTGTAGTGTCAGTTTGTTTCGCTGTAACGGTAGTTCTTTATACCAGTGTACAGATACGGGTGTGGAGTGAGCGTCTCCCACATTTGAATTTTCACCTGTGTCATCCATATAAACGGTCCCATTGAACTTCATTAATTTTTAAACCACGTTGTTCGTATGCACAGGGGGAAAAAATGCTTGTGTGAAGCGGGCCTTACCTCGGAATATGAGAGCTGCAGCTAGCCTGCCCGGTTTGAAATATTACTGTAGGGTATCATAATTTTTAATTTGTGAATAAGTGGGGGAATGCTTTGCGAATATCAAATAGGGGTGTTAAAATATCAATTGCGGATAAGCAGGGTTGCAAATAGCGAGGGCCTGTAGTATATTTCATCCAGTTATTTATTTTTTTTTATTTTTTTATAAATGTACATAATTTTTTGGGGTACAGTATTTGATAATTCATTCTTATCATCTTATAGATGTGGAAGGATTTGCTGATTCATCTTACATGTTATAGAGTTACAGTTAAAATCATCTTTTCAATAAAGGATGTCTTTTTTTTCCATCCATAAACAGTATTTATTGTGAGATACCATAAGTAAGTTTCTCTTAACTCCTTTGTTGCCCCACAATTGAACTGATATATATACAGCTCCTCCCCGACTTACGACCACCCGCACTTACGACCTGCCTCAGTCGTACCAAAATTTGGTCAAATTACGTATTTTCGAGTTCCAAAGTCAGTACACAGACAAAATTTTTGTTTGTAATTCACTTTAAAATGGCTGGCAAGCTTAAAGGTGAGTGTTTTGTGGTGCTGAGAAGAAAAAGAGACATCCATTTTAGGTTTTCTATGTATTATTAAAGCATTTCCGACTTACGACCTGGATTTGGGTCCCTTACCCCGTCGTAAGTCGAGGAGGAGCTGTATATATGTATGACAGCAATACTATATGTTAAATGGTGTTAATAGAACGTGTGAAAGGAAGAGTGAAATTCATATTTACTATTGTATGTCTTTTGGTGAAATGAATCTCGTGAATTGATAATCAGTCAAGCAGGTATTAACACATTCGGGACCCCACGGAGCACATGCCACCACCACGTACGGTGGGCAGGGCGTGCTCAGCTGATGACAATTCGTGGCAAAAATATTTGCATTCCTTTTTTGTTATTAAGATTATTTTTCCAGCGTATTTATTTATTTATT